GATGGATGGATGGATTTAAAATGAAAGAAACATTGCAGTGTGCAGTTTTAACAACTTAACATGCTGTTGGGCAGTTTAATCTTTAACACATAGTATTTTGTCAAGTGATCACGGGCTTGCATTTTAAAGTAATTTTTATTGTTTAATCTGTTCATTATTTCGTCAGTTAATCAATTCAAAGCTAGAAAATAATGCAAAATGCTCATCATTAGTTCTGAGATTCTGAATATGTTGGTTTAAAACATCCACTTTTTATCAGATTGCAGTGATTAATAATAGAAATAAGCATCAAATTCTCACATTTGAGAGGCTGTAAGAAGCATGTTTAGCATTCTGCTTGATGAATGTGAAACCAAGCAAAGATATCTAAAACAGAAAAACTGTTAGTTACTTCCTCTACTTGTAGGTATGCAGATCTTAAGGTGGGTTGTTACATTGCTATAGTACTGAAATGTTAGTTACAGAATGCGATGCAAATTTTTCAGGAAGTAAACATGACTTATCAGCTGCTTGATAGTCTCGTCTCCGTCCTCGTGTGGCTTTTGGTCACTGTCTTCATGCAGAACACCGATGCATGTGCGCAAAAGAATCTTCTTCCCCCTCCTACTTTCTTATTGATGGAAGACCAGCTGATCCCAGTGGAGCAAAACAGGGCAGCTCAGTCTGACACGGTGGTCAGAAAATGTTTCCCTAGCTGTCGCCGTTTTATCTCCCCACACTATTTTTCGCTGTGCACTCTGTGCTATCATGGCCTGTCAGCTGGGTAGGTTTGTTGCGGACGTGATGGGAATAGTTCTCAATGTTCCCACTCTCCACTGTGACACCGACTCAGGGCATTTCCAGAGAGAGTGAGAGCCCACTGAGGGAATACACAGTTGCCAACTCACGTTAAAGACTTGAGCTTTTTCCTTCCCAGGCTGCTTGCTCCCTGTTTGTGTTTTGTTGCTTGCAGCGGCGTTGAGCTGCTTGTGTGTCTTTGCGGTTGTGCACAAGCTAATCGACATCTCGTGGTCGGGATTTTCATACCCGACTTCTACTTAGTGCTGTGTAGGTGTTTGCAGATTAAGTACGTCATTATCAAGTGATTCAGGTTCACAGAAGCAGCTAATGTAGCATCAGAAGTGGGAGATTTAAAGTTTGATTTTTATAAATTCAGAGAAGCCTAAATGCTCAGTGCTTTCATTGCCTCAGCAACTATTGTTTCCCTAAGGTGCAGTCTTGGTCAAGGTTTATAAACTGTGCATTTGTAAAAGTACACATTTGCACGGCTTTGCTTTATTGTTTTTTCATTTCAATAATTTCTGCTCACCTTTGAATGGAATTTTTTTTTCAGTGCAGCTGTATTTTAATAAACGCCCACACAGCTTCTCTTGGAGAGCATAAATCTGAATAAGAGGTTTGTTTGTGGACTGGTTTGGACTTATTTTCATCTACAAAGAATAAAAAATGCTAATTGGGGGCCAAGCATACAGTTGACCTGCTCTGTTTTAAATGAAACTTTTGATTCCTGACAGCCTCAACAGCAGGGACTTTGATTGAGAGTCCTGAGCCAAATAACAACCTCACATTCTACAGCCTTAATTGCACCGACTTAATTCCTCTTCATCCTATGCCTTTTCAGCCATCAACTATTGCTTTTTTTTTTTTTTTTTATAAGACAGTCTAGTAGATTTACTTTTCCTCTGCATGACTACCTCCCTTCAGCGTGTCTTGTAATGTAACTGTCAGCCATGTTATAATGAGGCATAATGAGGCTTTGCTGCAAAAGTTGGGATTAAGAGATCTAGGAGGGTTTTAATTGAGATGAACAGGGAGGCAAGAGTGCATGTTTAATTCACTTTCTTTAGCGCACACTGTAGTCCACTGATCCCCACCTCTGGTCACTGTTTGCATGACTGTCAAGCTGCAGCATCCCCCTCGTCCTCTTTTGACATCACTTTGCAGTTGAAATTAGCTTAAATCAGAACTGACTTTTATGTTCAGCATTGAAATATTTGTTCTCACCTCTGACTCTTTTCATTGCCAGCACTAAAATAGATACAAATATTCATATTTGAAGTAGTTTTACTCCTCAATCTTAGAATTGTAAAGTTATTCCACTCTTTACCTCTGTACTCTTCTGTGTGCCCTGTTTAAATGTACTGTTATTGATCATTTTTTCTTGAGCAGTTGCTGGTCGCTATGAATAATAGAATCACTCAGCAATCCTATCGTTGTACAAGTAACACTAACAATCCTAAATATCGGGGCGGACAATAAATACATTTTATGGAATCACACTGTGACCAACTGAAGTTTCACTGATACACACCACATCAAACACTTTTCAGTTGTGATTAGTAGGCCTGTACAATTAATCGATTTCAAAACAAGATTTTGATTTTGAAACAGTGCAGTTGAAAAGGTTGCAATTTAGTCTACACCTTATGCATCGCGTCTGAACCTGGGTTTAAACTGTCAGTGTTTTTACAAATTCATCCTCCTTGTATCTCATGTGGCTTCACAATCTTTAAATCTATTATTCAATAAATATTAGCCTAAGCTTGACTTAAAAAAAAAATAGATTACAAATTAAATCACAATGTCTGTCAGAAAGATTTTTCTTAAATATTTTCCACAAATCATTCAGGTCCGGGACACACAACTGTAATATGACACAGTGTTTCTGTGTGTCATATGTCATGTGTGTCATCATTACATTTTTTATTCCCAAAACCACTGCTGAGATTTGGGATACTTCCCCTTGCTTTATCTGCATCAGGAAGTATTTGACCAGTGTAAACCTAAGTAAGGTATCTATTAACAGAAATGTAGTGCCTTTATTAGGCCATGCAATTTATCAGCATTTCAGTTACTTTTGATAAATAACAATGACATTGACTACATAAAACATGTTAAGTGTAATATCATGGATAGCATGCAAGAAGTTTGTGCTGTTAGTTTCTGGGCTAAAACTTTAATAATTTCAACAATACAGGCATTTTTCTGGTCATTCATTTGTTGTATACTGTAGAGACTAAAACG